GATTCCTCAGGGTATAAAAGATAAGCCATCTCGAAAGCAGTAAGAGAGGAATCGCACCACCAATAAGAAAGAAGACCCAGTGGTGGTATGTGTGAGACCCCTCCCTAAAGGGGCAGAGGTGGAAGAGGCTGTGAGACACAGCTGTCGGCTTCCCAGACCACAGAAGTAAAGCTGGGTACCTTTGGGCAGGAGGCTGGCTTACACAGGGCTGTGTCCTTTGGACATTTATCATTCCCAAAGGAACTTTCTACTACTTGTGGGTCAGTTTGTCATACTGCAGTGGCTTGTGTGTTACTGTGATGCTACAAGTCAATCTCCACTACATATCTGTCAGTTTGTTATACTGTTTTATGTTACCAGTATTTTAAATGCCACCTGAGCCACCCAAAGTGAACAGGTTTCAGCAGAGCTTCCGAACTAAGAATAGATAACACAGAAGAAATTAGCTATCCACTGCTGAGGAATGAGGCCCTAAAAACCTTATAGACAACATTGAAACATTGTCACATCCTGAAAACCTCATGAAAAGCAGAGCATTGTGGGAAATAGTGCCAGAAGAGGAGTCCCTCGGGTCAGAAAGCATTCAAAATATAACTGGGGAAGTGCTGCCTTCTCAAAGTCAAGTCAACCATAATGATGTGGATAGAGTAAAGCGTGTGGAAGATCCCGAAGTAAAGTCTTTGGGACCTTCATTTTGCCGATGGGGCAAGACACAACATGAAAAGAAAAAGCTGCAAAAATCTTCTAATAGTCAGAACTTGGAATGTACAAAGTATGAACCTTAGAAAATTGTAAGTTGTAAGAAATGAAATCGAATGCATAAAGGGGTTAGTGAGCTGAAATGAACGGTTTTGCTACCTTCAAGTCGGTTCTGAGCCATAGCAACTCTATCTATGCACAACAGGACGAAACACCACCTGGCCCTGCGTGATCCACAGCCACGGTGTCCATCCACCTTGTCAAGGGCCCTTCTCTCTGCTGCCCCTCTACTTTACCAAGTATGCTAACCCTCTCGATGGCCTAGTCTCTCGTGACAGCATGCCCAAAGCACATGAGATAAAGACTCACCATCCTCGCCTCTCAGGAGCATTTTGGCTGTACTTCTTTCAAGAAAGATTTGTTTGTTCTTTGGTAATCCACATTACTTTTAATATTCTTTTCCAGCATCATAATTCAAATGGATTCTTCGGTCTTCCTTATTCAATATCCAATTTTCACATGATTATGAGGAGACTGACAATAACATGGCTTGGGTCAGATGCACCTTAGTCCTCAAAGTTATATCCTTGCTTTTCAATACTTTAAAGAGGTTTTGTGTAGCAGATTTACCTAATGCAATGCATCATTTGATATCTTGACTCCCTGCCAAAGTACTGCTGCAGCCATTGTTAGATTAAGGATACTGTTTTAAAATTTGAGCATTGTTGGATCACTTTTTTGCAATAGGTACAAATACGGATCTCTTCTAGTCAATTGGCCAGGTAGCTGTAATCCAAATATCCTGGCTAGGATGAGTGAGTGCTTCTAGTATTTTATCAGCTTATTGAAACATTTCGTTAGTGTTCCACCAGTTCCTGGAGCCTTGCTTTTAGCTAATGATTTCC